CAGTTTCCTTACGTTCCCTCCTGGAAGGTTCCTTGATGCAATCTGTAAGCATGAAATGTGACTAGGAACACAGGAAAGGTAACTCTGGAGAAGATCAGAAAACTTGGACTAAACATGTAGCTTTTTGATAATTCAACTTAATGCAGGGATATAAACTAAAATATCCAGAGGAATAAATGAACCACATAAGGTTTAAAGTCTCTAGCAGGCATTCTGTGGTACCATCTAAAGGCAAGACTTATAAAACAGTGTTGCACATCTGGAAGGCATGAGCTAAAGGAAGGTTTTCAGGCATCTCTAGAGATTCTGAATTTATTCAATATATAACCATTCAATGATCCAAGGTTTGAAACAATAAAACATGACCCCCAAAACAAGACTTAGGTTTTGTTTCTCTCACATATTTTGTTTTACACACATTTCATATTTTCCTCATGAGGACCTATAATTTCAAGTGGATCTTAGTTTTACAAATAGTTAAGTTTCTAATTTTCCAAAAGTTTAAAATTTATAAAATGCCTTTCCTAAAAATTTGGTTTGAAAATTAATGGTTTTAAAAACATGAGGTAAGAGGATCACTGTGAGTTCAAGGCCAGCCTGGAATACACAGTGAGTCTGAGGCCATCCTGGACTACATGGAGAGACCCTGTCTCAAAAAACAAAACAAAACAAAAAATGGTGATAATAAAAAATAAAAATAAAAACATTTATTGAACTGTAAATTGCTATACAAATGAAAAAGATCATATTATTTTATTAATTATACAATGTTACAGCCTCCTGTTTTCTTATTAGCAAGTGAAGCTTAGTCAGTGCTATATAACGTATTTTACTTATGTGTTTTCTAATCTGTTTCTATTTTCAAGCAGAAGATATAAAAAGTTTTAAAAATCGACAGGAAAGCTATCATATGAACAAAATTTCTTAAGCCAAACTTTTTGCATAATCATAAAACATGAAACATAATCTTCTCAATGGTTTTGTAATTTGTAGCTTATACTTCATATTTTAAAGAAAGATGTGAAAGAACAAGAAATTCAGTTAATATAAATGGGTGAGTGAAAATTTATTAAATTATGATATATAACCATTAATAAACCAAAGACTTTCATAATAAAATACAATAGAAATCTGAGAAATACTTGTCAAACTAAAGAAAATCTTAAACATAACCACACAAAGCAGAATCACAAGACTGTTGGTCATGCTACAGAAACAAAAATAACAAAATAAAACAAAGAAAAAAAAAGGAACTCAGGATTATTTAGTGTGCTACGAATTCATTTTAGGACCCTGGTAAAGGGAATTTATATTCTATTAAAATCTTTAATGACTTCACTGTAATACATTAGCTTTTAATTGAATTAATATAGCTTTAAATGTGAAGATCACATTTATAACACTAAAACATTTAATGATTTTTAGAGATATGAAAGTGACAATAAAAATTATATATTTGTGTGTGTGTATATATGCATACATGTCATGTTTTTGTTTCACTTCATTCTGTTTTGGTCAACATATTATGGTCCATAACTGCACCCTTAAGGTGGGTCACAGAAGCCCTAATCTCTTCCTTCATGTCTTGGAGTCCACCATAAAGAAATATTCTCATCTACTCTTGTTCAAAAGTAGGTCACAAGACCTGCCTCATTCCAGAGGGGTCTCTGCCATACCGTGGAGGAAGGAGTGCTGTTCAGAGAAGCCAAAGAATTTGATCATACAAGGCTCTCTAGGTTTCCCCACACAGCCTATGAACAATCATACCTCTGCCATGAAGTTTGGATAAAAACCCAGAAGGTTAAGGTTCAGAGAATTTTAGGACAGCTAAATACCTAGAGGTTCCGGGAGAGGGCGTGACTCCCACTCCTCACCCTATGCAGCTCTTTATGGTATTCTCTGTAATATCCTTTACCATAGACTGGTAAATGTAAGTACTTCTTTTAAGTTCTATTAAGCAGATTTAGCAAATCAATAAAACCCAAAAGGCAACTGTGGGAACCCTGATTTACAGCCAGTGGGTCAGAAGGGAAAACAACAAGCATTTGTGACTGGCATTTAAAGTGAGGGGTGGGGCCAATCTTGGGGGCTGAACCCTTAACCTGCAGGACCTGACACTTCCCCCACCAGGTACAGCCTGTTAGGACTGAATCAGAGGATGATGCCCACATGCAGAATCACCTGCTCGCTTGTGGGGAGAAATCCCTTCTCTCTCATGAGGCTTATATCTAGAGCCTCATGCACTCATAGGTGGGGTTTTTTGGAACTAGTTGGATTGGCAGTGGTGGTGAACTTATGACCCACACGCCGCAGCTGGCTGTTTGTTGTCAGTGAAAGCTCTAAAAGGTGTGACATCACTGGAATTAAGGGTGCTAATAGTTCACTGGTTGGTGTAGCATAGTTCTGGGTATGGGCGACATCATCCAAAAGACTGGTCACCTGGAGGGATGAAAGGGAAAGGGAGGCTTGCTGCTTGCCCACCGTGAGCTGTTTCTTCTCTGGGATGCCCCTCTGCCATGCCACCATGCCTTGCAATCAGCAGACTATGGACTGAAACCTCTTCAAACAGTGAGCTGAAATAAACCTTTCCTCCTTTAACTTTGGGTATAGGGTCTTTTGTCTCAGTCACAAGAAAAGCAACTAAGACACCAACTACTTTCTGGCAAAGGGATTACACATTTTTGCTCAAACTTTCCTGACTTTCCATTGCCTGTCAACCAATGGTGACACTCTATATGAAACTCAAAGCCCTGTTTCTGGCACTATGATAGATTTCTGTGCTCAACCTATACTCTCACCGCTCTACTCCACAGCATTTACCAAACTCGCTGCATACTTCCTGGTATTTTGTGTAATTCTAGATGACATACACCTACTTATTCTGCAAAGCCTACTCCATCTACTCTTCTGTGAAGCATTCCCACAATGCACCATCACTCCTACCACAACCTCCATCCCAATTCCCTCAGAGGACAAATCTCTTGCCACTTATTTTTTTATTTTTATTTATTTTTGACATAGGGTCTCACCAGGCAGTTCAGGCTCATCTTGAACTCATTGAGATCCTCCTGCCTCAGCCTGAGTGCTGGGATTGCAGGTGTATGTCATCATACCTGGTCCCTCTCCATTTGACAGCCAGTTTTATTAAAGCATTTTTCACAGATATTATTTTACAGCTTCCACTTTATGAAACTTTCTGACATTCCCATATGCCTATACATTGTCCAACTCAGAATCTGGTAAGTATTCTACTCCAGCATAAAACATAGAAACCTGTATAACACACAGACCTGTCTGTCTCTAACTAAATCCCTGTTAGGCTCTGTGTTCCTTGAGAATAATACCTTAGCTTAGCCATCATTGCTTCTTTAGATCTGAGCTTGTACTTGATACACAGCAGCTGTTCAATAAATGTTACTAAATTAACAAATAAAACACAATTGTTTTAGGCCAAATCAGGAAACAAATGTATACCTAGTTTTCAGCTAAGATGCCTCCTTCCTCTTCTAGGACAACACAATGACAAACAAGATCAAATACGCAGCAGATAAAGAGACTTAAGGATCTGAAGATGCTGCTTGTGGAGGAGGCAAGCTTCAGCAAAGGCCCTTTAAACACTCAGCAATTTGCTCACATTAACTCCAGGTTGCTTATTTACGTAGCTGTGGCTGGAGCTTACAAGGAACATGCTGTTACCAATCAGTAAGGCCTAATACAACCACTTCTTCACCTCTATTAAGTGACAGACATGTACATTTTCATTTAAATGTTTCTTTAGAGAACAATTGATTGAGAAAATAACAGCTGCATGTATTCTTAAAATCAATTAATTGCACAAGATTTAATACAATATTTAACAAGAAGTATATAAACCAGAATTTACGTGGCACAACATTACAAACAACTGTATTCTAATTTGTGTAATGTATATCGCAAGAAAATAAGCATCTGTCCACGTGTGCTATAGGGTAATCTATCTGGGTTCACAGTTTAACTTCTATGTGGCATAATTAAAGACTGAAAAATTAAGAAACTAGGACATAAAAGTCTGTTGCTAATTTAGAAACAGATATGGGAAGGATCACAGAGTACAACCAATTTGGCAAGCACATGCTGAGACGCCAGGAAATACACAACACACAATGGCCTAATGTAGTGCCACTGGTATCAGGAAACTTACTGTCTATACGCATTGCCTCACCATGTACTCACAGAAATTAGCAAAAACAAGTAAGACTATCATTAAACTTGTCATCACAAGAAAAATGTTACACAAATGTCATATGAGTTTTCTATAAAAGCAACTATCTTCAACGGATTTCAATACTATTTCTATTCACAACACGGAGGTAAAAAGAAAATCTTTTAATACAATGTGCCTCAAGTTATAAACATTTTGAGAACTTAACTTAAAAAATAAGCATATTTTGCCACTAAAATAATCTCCATCTGTAACAATTTTATGTTATACAAATACATATTCTTAGAGTTATAATTATATATTTAATACATATTGTTTATAACAGTTCTAGCTTTTCTTGGCGTCTATCCCTGTTTTCTTGTAGCAAAAACACCTATACTCAATAAAACAAAGTGCAAATACGGCCATTGTATTAAAAATAAAATTTATCAATAAGTGAAAAGGTGACAAAATTCTGTTGGCTGAAAGCCAGAAACTTCTGAACTCATTCTGTAATGTAAATAATAATTTGAGTAATGAATGTAAAAATAGAGATATCAGAGAATGCCATCTTTTACTTAATTTTTAAAGTTCTGAGCAAAATGTCATAGCCCCATTTCAAACAGATGATTCTACTATGTGTTTTTGCGCACAAACTGCCTCAATTGTTTTTGGAAAGCACATATTAATTAATTTTAATCAATTAATAATTGGCTTTGTAAGTAAGATTATTTTTTTAAAAGTATTTTAAATTTTTTTTAAAAAAATATTTCTTACTGAAAATTATTTATATTTTGCATGCTCTTGAAAGATTCTTTACCTGCAGATAGCTGGAAAGCATTCTTGAAGACCTTTCTTTTTAACTAAAGATCCTTCAAGGCAGTACATAATGATGTCCATAACCTTTGACAGAAAAGACACAAACCTGAAGTTAATTTCTAATGCCTAATTTTCAAAAAGTTAAATTATATTAGGCCTCATTTGATCATGAAAACTCTCCATAGTTTTAGCATCTACTTAAAATAAAACAAAAGCAGTTTTATGCATGTGTATAATACAGACTATTCTTTGCCTTATCTGTGAGAGAATTTAAAGATAATACAGTACAAAATGAAAACAAACTTGTTTACTTTGGAGTCAATTCATATTTATGTACCATATAGTTAACTTTTACTGAAGCACATTACACATCTTGCTTATTTATGATGAACCCTGTCAAAGAGAACACAATCCTTAAAAAATACTCTACTAGGAACCAATTTCATGTGACAGAGTGATCATTTTGATTTCTGAGGAAATTTAACTGAGTTCTTCCTTCAGAAATTGAACAAAAGTTAAATTATTTTAGTTCTCTCTCTCTGTCTCTGTCTCTTTCATTCACCATTTTCCCTCTCCTCCCTCTTTCTCCCTATCTTTCAGAGATACTGGAAATAAAGATGCCATGTCATATTAACACACTGGAATATTTAATTTAGGGTGCTGATGTATCACTTAAAACAGGTAATTCTTACCTCTACAAGAAGATCCACAACATCAGTAGGCATCTTTTCAATAAGAATTTCAATGACTCTCAGAATTTCTCCTTTGGCTCGGGCAAGAGTTGTAGTGTGCATATTCTGCTGTGATTGGGTGTTTGCTGCAAGAGCCGTGTGTCTGTGTACCTATAAAAATATTTCTATGTGTTAGCTGTGTTTGCCACTGATGTAGTTTTAAGTTTGTAGCCACTGGCTTATTTTTACTTACTGATACAATAGGAAAAACAGCAAATCATTGAAGTGCTTTTGACTACTCAGCCATAAAGAATGAGAAACTAGAGACATTTACAGCTAAATGGATGCACATTGATGACATACTCAAATGAAATAAATAGGACAAACATGTATAAATACTGTATAGTTTCTCTGGTGTGATAAACTAAAAGTATAAAAAAGGGTCAAAATGAATAACAGATAATGTAAAATAGAAAGAAAAGGTCCAAAGGGGAAAGGAAGTGGGAGAGGTAGCAGATAGGAAAGGGAAAGGAAAAAATATGAGAAATGGAAAAAATGGAAACAAAGTCTTTGTAAATAGGGAGGGGTGGAGGGGTTGAAGAGAAGTCAGGGGAATAGGGAAAAAAATAAGAACCAAGATATGTCATGTAAAGGTACAAATTCCCAATGATGAATGTCATCATGTTGCATACCTAAAATGTACCAAGAAACTTGACGAATAAGAAAAGAAAAGTAATGCTTTTGATCACAAAAAAGGATTGGCATATCATAACAGTATGTAATGTCTAACAAAATTCTATATGTTCCCGAGTCCTATATGAGACCTTAATACAGTGTCATTATAATATTTTAAAAAGACAGAATGAATGAAGATTTGTGATTTCAGCATATCTGGCACTAAAGTATATACAGTAGTTAGGAGATGTCCAGGAAGTTTAAGATATGATCCTTAAATTCAAATAATAAGGGTAAAGGATACTTATATAACACTCATTGTGTCCCAGACACTATCTGAAGCTTTGTAATCAAGCTGTGAAGTCCAAATGAACATGCCTCCTATAATAATAAGCATGTTAAATAATATAAATTTGACGTGAGTTTTTCTAAAACAGATTGTAAGCTCCACAGTTCAGATGAGGCAGAGAACATTAACAGGCCCTGGACTAGCCATGCAGTGATGGGCAGAAGGACAAGATGTAAGATAGTGATAGCGGCAAGAAATACTTTAGTATATTACTCAGATAATCTAAGACTAGAAGGTAAAACAGAAAGCTTCTCTGTAAAAGGCACTAAGTGTAGATGGCTATATTAAAGTATTTTAAAATACCTTTGGAAACAAAAGCTAGAGTAGAATGGATTTTCTAACAGATTATATAAAAATATTCATATGAAAATGGTGTAAATTAAGTTTAAAAAACTTAATATAAGGTCCTGTCAGGCTAATGTAGGGTTTATTCAGGGGAGTCAACAATACTATCTGTGTACATTCCATGGTTGGAAAAAAACTGATAAAAAATTTCCAAAGCTAGTAAAATTATTCATTTACACATATATAATCTATATATATCATTTACACATATCCTCTCTCTATGTATATTATGTAAATATAGTGGAACCTTACTATAATACTATGCACTGTCAGAAAAGCCTATGCTTTAAATATAGTGGAACCTTCCTATAACACTATGCACTGTCAGAAAAGCCTATGCTTCTAGTCCATTAATTTATTTTAGAAGTGAATTCAAGGTTCTACTGCTTCACAATCACCTATACAAACTGCTATTAGCACCTCTTTCCTCCCATCTGGCTAACTTCACATCACAAGTATTTATAGCATGCTTATTAAGGATAGCTCTGGGGCAGACATAGGCCCAATAGGTTTCAGGATATCAGAGTTGACTCAGAGGTATTTATTTAGTATTTTAAAAATTCATCACAGCTACAGGAAAAACAACTCAGACAGAGCCCATACCCTACGGACACTGAGTCTGCACATTATTCATGCTGAGATGGAATAAACTTTAAAAAAAATTAGGAGCATATCTCTCTTTTTCTCCCACTACTAAGACCTACAGAAAAGATTCTATAATTGGTTCATTGTTCTTTACTAGTTTTTCAGTTAGATGTGGGCAATTAGTTAAAACACTAAGAATGTAGGAATCAATTGGCATTCAAGTCTTTATCTGTGACATGTAATAGGAAAAACAATTAGCAAGTTTATGACTAACATTTTTTGTTTACAGTTGGAGAACCAGTACTAAGTTTAGTTTTGATTACAAGCAGGTACTTACACTTGAAAAATGTGAATACCTTTAATATGCTTTATTTTGTATGTGCCTGGTGTATTTCAGGCTGAGAAACTACTGTCAAATATTTATAAGAAGAGAGAGCAGAAACAAAAACGCATAAATAATGAACGTACAACTGGATTCAATGTGTAAGCACAGATGCATGTGTATTCACTTTAGTACTAAGTTATTCACTTGTCTTGTTTTAGAACAAACTGGAAAGATAATTTGTGAACACAAACCCCCAGTTTGCAATATCAAATAATTCCCTAAATGAGAAGATGGAACTCACTGAGAAGTTCCACTCACCTCCTTGGCTATCGTGGTGATGAAGGCGGGTGGTCTAGCAGTGGCAATGAGGGAAAGGGCATGCCTTGCAGATCGGGCGGAGTCAGCTGCAGGACTCAGAGGCAGCCCCATTGTGATGCTAAACAGGGATCAGAAAAAAAGGAAAAAAGAAAAGAAGCATTAGAAATATAGACTGAAAAGATTAGACACAGCTTATAATGTCAGTTCAAGGTCAATGGGAGCACTCAAACAGTTAGAATATAATGGACTTGCAACAATGAGCAGTGATTAGGAGTCAGGGTGTTCTGGCATCAAATACAAAATCGAATAATTAACCGTGAAGATTGAAAACAGTATGTGCATCTGTCCAAAGTGTTAAAAACGCCTTGTTAACAAATTATCAAGAACTAGTACTGAATACATATCTCAAAGCTCAAAAAAGGCACCAACAAATATCATGCTGGGTATTTCAATTTTGTCCCAAAAAAGTCAAAGTTAATTATCTGTTTATAAGGTCATATTAAAAGATTGTATTCAAGGCTGTATACATGAAAGGAAGCAAAATTCATTCCTATCCATAAAATTATCAAGGGAACTGAAAAAGACGAAATTCTAGTCTACATTATTATGTTTTAGTTTGAAATATGCTCAGTATTACTAGTTTACTCTACACTTAGTACTTTTCGAACCAATCTGCTAACCAACAGTTTTCCGGACATTGAATATTTATGTAAAAATTAACTGATAGTAATTCTCATTGTATAAAGAACAGACTGAAGGATACTGACCAGGTTTTTTGTAAGACAATATACACACTAAAATAAATCTTTCCAAACTGTGAAAATACAAGGGTGCTGAAGGGACACTGATGTTACACTGTCTACCTCTGACACATAAAAATGATAGTTTAATTTCTAAGCCTACTTTATATTATACATAAACCACTGAGAAAATAATTAAGACTTTTAATTAAATGTGGCATGTGTATGCATATTAACTGTACACAAGTAATTTTGTTACTTAGCACGGATCCAGTTATAGTTTCTGTAGCTAAATAATTTTTATATTTAAATATTGAGGTATATTCAGATTTATCTTATTCCAGTTAAATATAGTCATTTCATATCTAAATTGGATTATGTTTACTAAAAATTCTTAAAATGTTTAAAAGTATCTATAATTGATCTATAAATCATTATTTTAACTTTTAGCTGAAAATAAAGATATATGAAATAGGCATTCCCACCATTGTTAAAGGAGTTAAACTGATTACAGAACATTCTGCTTATAACTTTTTGTGACTATTACACTACTTATCTTTTTGATAATATATAACTTGTCTTTTTTCCAACTTGAGGTACATACAAAGCAGGTACTCAGCAGAGGACCAGGGAATCTTCCTTTGATGTTTACTAATAAAAAGAAAAGTGTGTGGGGAGGGGAGGAGGGGGTGAAGGGAGGGCAGGGACAAGGGGAAAAAAATGAAAACCAAGACCTGTCATGTAAAGGTTCAAGATCCCAAGGATGAATGTAACTGTACTGTATGCCTAAAATATACCAATAAACACAATGGGGGGGGAAGAAAAGTGTGACCATAGAGAATAAACACATATTGAATAATAAATAAATACAATGCAAGTCTCTCTGTGGAAAAGCGTCCTGCACTTGGGTCCTGGCAGTGGCTGGAAGGAGCTATGTAGTAGAACGGACAGACAGCAGATTCTTTTTTGGATTAATCTTTGATATTGCAAATTTAGCAAAGGATATGTTTACTATGTGATAGTGCTGGGTCTAGACTGCTTAATAATTATTGTAAAATTTAGATCCCATATCCCTATTTTAGGTCAAACTGTTAAAAACTCAAGAGCTACTTTAGCTTTTTAGATACCCAGTGAAGTTTCTTTTTTTTTTTTCTTTTTTCTTTTATCATCAGTTTGGATGAACAGGGGTTGGTAATACTGAAAGACTGGAACAACCCAAAACGATATGTTAATTGAGTGATTTTGAACAAACCCAAATCAAATTTTATAAGGTCAATAAAATCACAGATTGTTGGAGCTGAAAAAAATTTCCCAGGCAACATCCCAGACAAGCAGTTTGTTAGGAAAAAGGGATATCTATCTTCTGGGCAGCCCATGATACATCTGGAAGGCATGATATAGAGAAAGGAAAACAACAACAAAAACAAACAAACAAACAAACAAACAAACAAACCTGACACAGAACCAAAGATCTAGAATTGAAACCAGGCTTTCCTGTGTTATTTCATGGTCTCTTTCATGTGCCCCAGAATATTCCTAGGAGGTGAATGAGACAAGCATTTTGCAAATGAAAAATCAGAAGTGTAGGGAAGTTAAGTGAGACCTAAGGCAATAGTGTACTGTGGTCTTCCCTCATCTGTGCTTTTGCTTTCTAAGGTTCCCAAACATATTAAAGAGAAAATTCCAGGACCAAGATTTTAAACTGCACGTTATTCTGAGTAGTTTGATGAAATCTCACACTGTTTCATTCCACTTGCCCAGGATGTGAAGCATCTCTTTGTCCAGAGTATCTACACAGTATATGCTATTTTTCTATTAGTAGTCAAGTGGGCTATCAGGCTGTTGTCATATAGAAGTGTTCATATTCAAATAACCCTTATGTAGTAGCCTAGTGTCACAATGCTTCTATTATTCACCTCACTCTATATCCATACAAACATTGTATCAACCCACATCACCATGGAGTAAATATTTTGGGAGAGCCCACATTGATAGAACTTTTATTGTAGTATTATTCTATTATTTTTTAATCTCCTACTGGACCTAACTTCTAAATTGTACTTTATCATTGGTATGTATGAATAAGAAAAACCAGCATAAATAGGGTTTGCTACTATCCATGTTTGCAAGCATCCACTGGAGAGTTCTTGGAACATACCCATGCAGATTAGGGGGTATGTGTTATATCTTTCAGCATACTTAACCTTTGGAAAAAATTAATAAATTGGCGACATAAGTTAACTCAGCAGCTTTATATGAGTGGCTAGACTGTATCCCTGTGAGAGGTTTTTAGTATGTTGTAATAGATTTAAGCTGTTTTATTCAATATCAATAGTGGTTTGAATAAAGATACAGGAGGTACTGATATCAACTGGTATGGAAATAAAGAGAGAACAACCATACTGAGTCATAGAATTGAGGTCCATAAAATCTTAAAAAAGATCAAATTCAACTAAACAAGAAGTCTTATGTTTGGGTACAAAAATGACCAATTTTACAGATGTAAGATAGGCAATATCTTACTAACTGAACTTGTGAAATGCTGGGGGCTGTAAGTAAAACATAAATATGTATGCTAGTGATAAAGCTGCCCAAAGAGCATGGAAGGGGTTTCTTCTGAAGTACCTCATGGCTCTAGGTACCTGTCTGTCCTCCTTATGGATGGACTACTCCTAGGTGCTTAAAAGACAGGCTTTGGCTTCTGCAAGACAAAGTTATATCTTCCTGGACTCCAGAGAAGTCCAGTGCATCCCAAACCGTGTACTACTGGGGGTTCCTGCAGTGGGAACTAGATTCCCACTCACATTATAGAATCCCAGCAAACTCACTGCCCAGCTCTAAGTCCTCACTCTGCAGCAAGGATAAATGTTTAGCAAGAAGAGGAGAAAGAAAAGGAGGAAGGAGGGAGAAGCGGGAGAGGGGAGGGGAGGGGAGGAGGAGATTGAGCCAAGTGAGCATCCTATATTATAGGTACAATAGAAGTTTCTTCTGAACAATGATGTCTAGCACAAACTGTAGTGAAATAAAGGAAAATGAAGCAGATCACTAGCTTCAAATGCAAGTCCTAGCTATATATCATCCTTTTCCTATCTCAGCAGAAGACTTTATGGATTTGGGAGAAATGGCAAACTTCTTATGGTTAGGAAAGTAGTAAAAGTTTGGTGCTAGGTGTCAAAATCTGGAAAAGAAGTTGTAGAGAAATGTAGAAATGAAGCAAAGATATTTAAACCTAATGTCTACTGAATTCAGTGGAAGCACAAAAATCCAATGTGTACATTTGAGTGTCTCCATCATCATCCGGCAGTTTGAACACAAGATTAGAAAATGTAGACAGATCTGCTCTGAGGTCAGGGCTCCACAGTGAGCTGGCGGGCATCAGCAGTGCAAAAGTGGGAGGCCCGAGAATGTGAGAGCTGTGAGGCTGCCAACACATATTGAGCGCATCATTAGAACCTTCCAACCACACCAACAGTATTTCATGGCTACCATTTTAGAAACCTCCAGTGGTTCCCTACCACTTCTAACTCCTTGGCTTCAGATTTGAAAAATCCTAAACTCCAAGGCCCTTCATAATCTAGTTTCATTAATTTTCTGCTCAATCTCTTCAATGTGAGTGCTCCTGAGGCTAGGCTAATTTCAAGGCTGATCCCTAAAATCTGTTCTTTTATTTACTCTGGGAATTTGCTAATGCAGTTCCTTTATCTCTTTTCCCATTGGCACACTCCTCCCTCACCTACATTCAATTCCTGTCTTTCCTCTATGGCATTCTGCAATTGCTCTAGCACTCAATTATCTTCTACTGAAATAAAAACAACCAACAACAAAACCCATTCATTCTACACCTGTAGTACTGAATCCTATTCTGCCAGGATTTATGAATTAGTTTTGCATTCTGAACTCTGTGTAGTACTTAGTGACCATGACTTCTAATCCTACATATCCCCCTAACATGCCTAGGACAGCCATTAGATACAGTGATAGCTTAGGAATTATGCACTAACTGAAGTTAGCTGGCAAATTCAGCAGGAGGAGAAAAAAAATCACTTAAGCCAGTTATTGGACTGAATTGACCTGGCAATGAAGTTAAAGTAATTGATCTGGTAGTCCCAACAGACAAAGTCTAATTCTACATGTAGTAATCTTTAAAGTCGAGTGTGTGTGATTATGTGTGTGATGTATTTTAACATGGGATTCCACCTGAGTGATAAAAGATCACACTATGAGAGATTTGAAAGGATCATACTGTGAGAGATGAGAGATCTGATTCTAGAATCAGTATATAAATGCTGAACTCACACTTCTGATCCAGCTTATGTGGCTATTATGCAGATCACTCACTTTACTATCTTATAAGATAGGCCTGTGGTTTCAGTCTTTA